TGAATGGTAATTTATAATCAGTCACAAGAACGTCGAATCTGAATCACTTGAAAAAAACACGGGGGTGCTTAACTTTTTTCCAGGTGTATATTTATTTATATAAATTATACAACAGAAAAAAAACATAGCACAGGGAAGCCTTTATTTTCTAACTATTTTGTTTGTCCAAAAGCTAATTCATGAAGCTTTCGATTATGCACTCTATAACACAAACAGTAAAACAGAATGCCCTGAAACTACTATAATTTACCTAGCTTTCTAACTAATATATAACTAGGTTAAACATATTTCATTACTTATCAAAGTACCATCTTCGGTCTACCCTCAATGAAATCTATATGGGAAATTGTGTATTTTGCAGAAATAAATCAAAACAAAGATGTTATAATCACATAGTTTACAAAATGGCTTTTCTATTGGTTATAAACAAGTATGACTGACAAGTAAGCATGAGTAAATAAGAATTTTAAAAAGCATGAAGATTTGGGAGGAGTTTCTGTGGTAGGTGTAATAAATTTATTGGTATCTTATAAAATAAAGAAAGTGAGAGATTCTTATTTTAAATTATAGCTTGTCAATATCTATAGTTGATGTTTCTAATTGATGGACGTTTTGAAACCAATATTAGGGAGAAAGGAAATATGAAAAAGAAAATTCAAAGCAGAGAGGCATCACATGACACAGGAAAAAAGTGAAGGTTGAGAATTTATTTAAGTATATCCTTTTTAAATTAAGAAATTAAAACTTATATAATGTTAAAACTCAATTTATAAATGATGTTTCAATTTTAAGTTTACTGATAGACATTGATAATAAAGTTCTTTAAGTAAGTTCTGAATGTAACTCTGTAAAGAAATATTTTATTCAAATTAATTGAAGTATATTTGAATAAAATGTAAAGAGATAACAAGCTGAGAGAGAATGATATAAATAAAATATTAACTGATAAAAAAAAATCTCATAAATTGTCTTAGTTCCAGAATGTAATAAATTAATTTCATTTCTGTTTTTGTTTCTAATACTTGAGAAATTTTTATTTTTCATTTATCATCTCATTTTAATTTCCAGTTCAAATCCCTAAAATGCCTAACCTAGCAAAGCAATAACATTCAAAAACCTTCTAAATCTGATTATGAATCACCTTTAGCTTCTAATGTATAAAAATCATTTTTGTTAGTTTGCTGTGGATTTCTAAATAGAAAAGCAAAAATTACAATTTCAGATTTACTTCTGTCTGCATGAAGTCATTGTTTGGGAGACTTTCACTCAATGCCAGAGTCCATCTACAAGGCTCAACTTATAAACCAAAAGTTATCATTTTCTTAAACTGAAAATGTATTTCCAAACATACATACCTCCGCTGACACTAATAGCTATTTCTCGATCTTCATCTTTGCCATCTAACATTGTGTTCGCTTGCTCCAGTCTTTATATACCCCACTTGAATGCCCTCAGCAATATCTAATTTGCAAAACTTTACACCAGTCCTCATATGCCCTCTATGCAGGTACTGTATCTAAGCACTGTATGCAGACAATAAAATCACTTTTTCGAGACTTACCACATTATGGTCACTAACACCAGCTCTTAGGGGGGAGGAAGGGAGGGAGAGTGTCAGTGGAGGTATGTATGTTTTGGAAGTTATCATTTTCCTAAACTGAAAATGTATTTCCAAACATACTTACCTCCACTGACTAATAGCTAGAATCCCACACTGAGTAGGTGGAGGGGCAAGTGAGGACAGAGATCATACAGAAAGCATCTGCAGAGAACAAATATATACTACGAGAATCGGATGTAGTGGGGAACACCACACTACATCCAGAACAGATATGTTCTTCACCCAGAACTACAGAAAATTGAAAAGGGTGGAATAAAGTATGATGGTCCAGCCCTGACCAAACAGCTGAGGTTCCACAACTCGGGTTGAATTTAAGGGGTCATGGTACTCATAGTCCATATTGGTGGCCAGGGCAGTTGGAACACAGATATATATCTTTGTGATAGGATCATTACCAGTAACCACAAAATGATTTATTTCAAACCACCAGATTTATGAAAGAAAGAAAGCAACACCAAAGTGGACAATCCTTCTGATCAACCTGAAGAAGTCCAAAAGTCAACATCCCAGGTCTGGATTGATGGGATCATGTGCCATACTCCACCAAAGTCCAGAACTCATCCAGTCTGGATT